AACGCAAACTGAGCATGCCTCCTCAAGTGACCATAACACCTGTTTATAACGCAAACTGAGCATGCCTCCTGAGAGACCATTACAGGAGTACCTTCAGTGTACCCTCTGCCTAACTTACTCCATTCAGAATTTCTGCTTGTTGGCTTCATGTTATATACAGGAATCTTACACAGTCTTATACAGGATACACTGTGTGATATGCATCTTACATGCAGGAAGAACCATTTATAGAGTTGCGACATGTGGTCCTCTATGATGTGGAATGTGATGTAATTTTGTATCCAACATGGCAGGGTAACGTGTGACAAGTTCACTAATTAATTTGAAAATGGCTGTAAATTAAAGAGCCCAATGGAGACAACACAACAAGTCGGGCAATGGATTACAAAGTAGCCAAGGCGACTTGAGGGCCCAAGACGGCTTCTAGTGCAAAGTTGTCGCAACACTTTGCATTATGTTAAGGGGCTGCAGGGAAAGGATGGAAGTGGGCATTTACCCGCCGAGGTCAGGCCGCGCAGCTCCCGGTGCTTGTGGACGGGGTTGCAGATCCACCTGGTGTCCGGGTTGCGACGGATGGCGTTGTGGAACGGGTCGATCATGATGATCTCGAAGTACTTGTAGGTGGAGTCCTCGCCGATCCAGTAGCTGTTCAGGACTCGGAGGGCGCCGCAACGCCGGCCCGCCCGTTCCTGGGAAAAGCAACACCATTGACATATACGTCCAGAAATTAATCAGTTATTGTCACAACTTTACCTGTTAGTTCTGCTGCTTCAGCTCACTCAAATCTAGGTACGCAGCAGGCATTATCACATCTCAGCAGTCATTATCAAATGTTGACACACGGTCAAGTTGCGCGCTGTTGAGTAGGGAGAATTTTGCCCCGCCTGACTAGCTCAGTATTTGGCAGTAAATAATGGGTGCTCAACAAGTAAATGTAACCAACTGTGACACCAGTGCATCCAAGTTGTGCCAAGGTCCAGTGAATCTCGTCTTACCTCGGCTACTGACTGCAGGCTGCGCTGGAACTTCAGCTGGTTGACGCCCTGGTTGGTGGGCTTGCCGTAGGTGGCACCCTTCGGTACTGGCCTCTTGCGACCGCCACGTCTCACACGCACACGGTAGATGACATATCCTAGCGGGGGGGGGGGAAGACAGAAGAAAAACTCGTCATTCAGTGCTGTCTGCTGTTAAAACGTCGTTGGTCATTCCGCAAAGTGACCTATCTTGATCGGCCAACATCAAAGTGACGTATCCGCAAACAAACTTGGCACACAAGACAGGTCAATTCATGGTGCAAACCGACAATGTTCGGAACAATTTAAGTAAACTGGATACCACTTGCTTTTCAGTTTTTATTGTCAGCAGAAGAGAATTGATGAACGTCATAAAGTAAAACATGCCGTCCTTCAGTCAACCAACGGGGGGACTGTTTTGTGTGGAATTCTGTTCAATTGGGTCAAGGTATAAGATTAAACCACTATCCATCAAATTTCACAACCCAACGACTTTGCCTTGCTTCTTCCAAGTCAAGGGGTCGTAAGGTACATTCGACTTGGAGCTTGATTGACTCGTCTCCTGTAAGGCATTCAGTTATTCGGAAACTCCCAAAGAACTCCAAAACACCTCCATCGCGACACCACTGGCACAATCCCTCAACTTGAACTTTTTAAGGTTTACGGAATGATTTCCCACCCCGTGTGTTGGGTTTTACCTTGTTTAGCCCGGTATCCCATCCTCCGGGCCTTGTCTGGGCGCAGGGGTCGGGAGGCGCGGTGAACCGCTGACAGCTGCCGCAGGTTCCATGTCCGGATGCGGGCCAGAAAGCGCATCACGTCCGACTGCTTCTTGCGGTAGAGCTCTTGCATATACTTGTAGGCCCCCATTGTGACAGAGTGGGGTCTGTCCTGCCAAGCATATCAAGGGGAATCGGCAGGTAATTCGCGAGAAATGGACAGAGTTTCGTAAAGCCCAAACTACGGTATCACTCCCAACCACGGATGAGGTTTCAAATGCTGTGGTGTCAGTTGAGCTGGCCTGTCTATACTCAGCAAATTTCTAGAGAAAATTTCTCATCCTTCTTTGATTTTTTGCGGCTTTCGCCAAAACAGAATTCCTCTGACGTATGCCCCTGTGGCATTTCATCCATAACACAAATAAGAAACATATTCTGCTACACAAGTTACCAGCATGGGAACGATGTACTTCCAGAACTGTAAGGTTTATACAAACATTTAATACAGGTAGCTTTGTACAAACTCGCATAAGCACATTTTGGCTGTTTCGATTGTGCCAACAATTGAAAAAGCAACACAGCTCCTATCTTTTCCTTCACGTTTTCCTGTCACCCACAGATGAAAGCCGAACTATGACTTGAGTATGACTGGCCAAATTTGCTTCCATTCTAGTGACCAATCACAGCTCGGTTTTCATTTTGATGGGGTCAGGAAAACAAGGAAAAAGTAGGACCTGCGTTGCAATTGGTCAAGATGTCATACAGCTGATAGTAATACATGCTGCTGTCATCAGGAATGCTGATCTTCTATAGTGTGGATGGGCAAAATGTACAACAATTTCACCATTTAAATGAGGATTTAAGATGAAATAAATCATTTTCAGCTTTTCGTGAAGAAGTAATCACTTCTTCAATTTACCAACAGAACGACAGTAAAAAAAAAACCACCCTCTCCCCCGAAAATGTAAAATGTAGCATACAAATCTGTGTGTTTACATACATTGGCCTACGGGTACAAGGATGCAAATAGCCCGGTTTTTAAAATGGCATCACCCGTGGTCAGCATGTAATACTACAGGCCAGGTTTTTCAAGGCGCCATACATCTGAAAATTTACGATTTTGGAAAGCTTTAGGGTGCTCGTATGAAAGTCCAAACTCCGAGGAATATGCCAGTGTAACTGCAAGTAAAATTGTCGAGTCATTCTCGTTTCGGAAGATATTTGGATTTGAGGTTTGTGACAATCCTGCTGTTTGGATTTCAGGCATTTAAGACTTGCCTTGAAGTAGGGCTGTGATGGCGACAGATAAGAGACAGATTGTAAAAGAGAGCCACCACAGCCCTATTTGTGGGGCTAGTATGAAAAGTGCATTTACTTCACTTGACTACGTGACAACATCTTTCAATTTTGCTGCACTAATACAAACAATTTATCCGAAATCTTATTGTCTAAAGATTCTGCAACTTTTATATTATCGGGATTCGGTTCAAAAGGGGAGTGATGGAGATAAAATCTCCTTGATTTGAGAGAATTTGAATCTGTTCTCACCCCTTCAAGACGACACGAAATAGGGCACGCAAGGTAAAGAACGACAAAGTGTGCATAAAAATTACGAGAACCCGTATTTCCCTTTGAAACACACAGCAATGAAAAGGTTTCCAGACACTACATGGTATAGACTGGTTCCCTATCACTGGCTTCGCAGTGTAGTCACGCGTGCACGCGTCACGGTGCGGATTACCGGGGAGCGGGCGGGGGCTGTCACGGTGCACTGTGACTCGTTCTGAAACCTCACCAACTGAAGAATAATTACCTAAATTCTTCAATCTATAAGATCCCAAGACCGGAATGAGCCGTTGAAGTATTGCCAACGAGACCCCGGTTTAAATCAAATTCAAAATGTTTGGGGGAAATCGTGGGCTTTTCTTATCCGTACATTTCTTGTAGATTTTTGGCTTTCGGTTTGTTTCTCAACCCAAGCTGAAAAATCGAACTTTTCTCTTTAAATAAGCGTTTGAAATTAGCCTTACCTACATGTAAGTTACCTCCACTTTTTCAGGTTTACGAAAAATTGAAAATGGATGATATTATTAGCGTCATGCACCCCAAACCCCATCATGTAAGCAGAGAAGCGTCAAGTTGTTTTTTGTTTTTGGTTTTTTTTTTTGAAAGTTTTGTCAGACATGGAGAGCAGGTTACTGTTGGATTTTTGGACAGTTTTCGGGACATGGAAAAGTTCGGAACTATAAATATTGGGGATAGTGGGCGACGTACGTGTCCCCTCCCCCCGCACAGTCCCCTCATCGACGTCATCACCTCAGACGCAAGGATCAGTTGTATTTTGTTTCGTTTAATTTTTCCCGTAGGCTTCTTTGCATCCTTTTGCGCTGAACTTAAAGATGAAATACATGTACGTGATAGAAAGTCGATGCCTTTCATTTTCAAGAATAGGGCCGGACGCGGAGATTCATCCCACGGAAAAAAAATGAAGTGGCTAGTCACAAAGACACAATGTCACAAAACATTCGTTTGTCATTGTTCACCTTGTTTTGTTTAATTCATGAATGGTTTTGTGAGAAGGACTGGTCACCAAACTTGTGGCTGCAATAACAATTGTGAAGGGAAAGGCTGATCGTGACGAGTAACCACCGTGCGTGGCGCGTGTCGCGCGCACGATATACTGGCTAGTGACCCATAATGCATTGTAATAAAATGGCTGCCTCCACGTTGGAGCGAAATAGCAGCAGCGCTACTACATCTACACCGGGTCTACGCCGTTGGCGTTCTTCGTGTCTTTGGCATTTCTGAGCGCTGAATCTGAACCAAAGAGTTTTCAAGGTATCAGACAGGATTCATCACACCAACTTGAGTTGGTTCTGCCCGAAAATTCACCGAATTTAATTTAATTTGCTGCAAAACTGAGTGACACTAGCCACGGAGGTAGAGCACACTTTTCATGTTCAGGTTTTGCAATGGCCGTAGTGTAGCAGACTGTCTGCGTTGTTTGTTCGTCTACCATCTGAACTTTTTTGCTGCACTTTTCAACAGTCTATTGCTGTCATGAACTTTAGCCATGTTAAGTGTTGTATCACGAAGTGATCAGTGGTGATTGGCCTAGGCCTATTTTAATCATTCTTATTGGCTAGGTCTACATAAACTAACTTGGCCAAGCTAAGGCTTAGGTCAAACAGGTCTTGGTTTTCAATGTGTTCAATTCAAATTGTGACATCAGTAAACTGGATTTCATTTTGACTTAGACCTGCAAAAGGGCTTACATGTACTTGTCACCTTGTGTCAATATCACCGATTATAACTTCTCATTGGCCCAAATTTTGCGATAAGTCGAAGGGCCACTGCAGTGTATGTATGAAATTCCATCAGCATTTGAGTCAAGCAGCACAATGTACTTACTTTCATATTTAGCAAGTTTTGGTTTTCTTCTTGCCATCTGTGGAGCACTGCATTTCTTCGTGAGCCGCCGGCGGCCCAAGGAGACGACAGGACACAACTCCCTTTTTGTGCAATTCCAGCGCAAGTATTTTCTGGCCTACTTTCTGGCACTTGCCGCCGACTGGCTGCAGGGACCCTACCTCTACAAACTCTACCGCCACTACCGCTTCTTTGAGCCCCAGATTGCTGTGCTGTATGTGTGTGGGTTTGCCTCCAGCGTGATCCTGGGCACGGCCACCAGCGCTTTGGCCGATCACTACGGCCGCAAGAAACTCTGCATCACCTTCTCTATCATCTACTCCTTCTCCTGCCTCACCAAGCTATCCTACAGCTACTATATCCTCATCTTGGGGCGGGTCCTGGGTGGGATCTCCACCTCCCTGCTGTTCACTGCCTACGAGGCCTGGTACCTCCATGAGCACGTGGAGACGCATGACTTCCCCAAGGAGTGGGTGACACTGACCTTCTCACAGGCCACCTTCTGGAATGGCATCCTGGCCATCGGCGCTGGGGTGGTCTCCAACTTCCTGGTGGATCCTCTGCACCTGGGCCCTGTGTCCCCATTCCTGCTTGCCATTCCACTTCTATTGGGCTCTGGGGCAGTGGTAGCCTCCTCCTGGAATGAGAACACGGGGGCCAAGAAGGTGAAGATCTCCAAGGCCTGCACGGAGGGCCTGCGGCACATCGTTGGCTCGCGGCGGATGCTGCTGATCGGAGCCATGCAGTCCCTCTTCGAGAGCGTCATGTACATCTTCATCTTCATCTGGACACCAGTCCTGGACCAGCCGCCAGACGCGCCGCTGGGCCTCATCTTCTCCAGCTTCATGGCCTGCATCATGATTGGCTCCTACCTCTATGAGCTGCTTTCCCATAGTCGGCTGCAGGTGCCCGCCTACGCTGTCGTCAACGGTTCCATCGTGCTGGCAATGGTGTCCACCCTCACCTGCGTCCTGTTCTACCGGAACTACGACAGCGTGTCCTACCTGGCCTTCCTTCTTCTGGAGCTGGCCTGCGGGCTCTACTTCCCCTCCATGGGGTTCCTCCGGGGTAAGGTCCTGCCCGAGACCCACCGGGCTGGCATCATGAACTGGTTCCGCGTGCCCCTCAACCTCATCGCCTGCGTCCTGCTCATGGTGCTCCACGGCGACTCCTCCCGGGAGGGCACCCGCCACATCTTCATCATCTGTTCCTCGCTGCTGGCAGTGGCGTTCTTCTGCGGCATCCGCTTTGCCCGGCTCGTCAAAGATGACGAGAGCTTGAAACCGGGAGCCACTGAGCAGGAAAACGGAAATGACGGCCGGAATGGATATTTGGTGTCAAACCAAGAGACAGCTTCCGTGTGATGATAAAGATTCATTTCTGGCCAAGACAGTTTACATTACAAACTGAGATTGTACATATTAAGTTTCTCATCAAAGTTTTTCTTTTGCTTGTACATTTTCTGCAAAAGTGCATACCAGTTTTATTTTTACACAGCCATGTTGTTTCTTGTGAAAGTCTTGCAATATGCATGCATGTTAGTACATGTAACATAGTCACTCTAAACTTTTCTTAGTGCGCTGTATTTGTAAAATAAAAAATTGAAAAAGGAGGCGTAGTTATATATTCAAGCACATTTTGTGCCAGTATTTTCTTGCAAATCAGTTGGCGCGGGTTTGGGGTTGACGTTGCTGCTGAAAACTTCCTTTTTGTGAAGAAAGTCGGTGATCCAATTTATGAACGATTTATTCTGTTCGCCACGAGTAACAAGCAACAGGTCTTAGACAAGACCTGTTGCTTGTTACTCGTGGCGAACAGAATAAAAAATTGAAAAAGGAAGTGTAGTTATATATTCAAGCACATTTTGTGCTAGTATTTTCTTGCAAATCAGTTGGCGCGGGTTTGGGGTTGACAGTGGCTTAGCTAGGGGGGGGGCACATTCCCCGTTCCCACAAATTCCAGGTGACCCCCCACCACAAAAAAAGATGAATGCGTATTGAACAAGTCTAACAAAAACTTGCCCCCAAATAGTGAAAGTTAATGCCTCCTTTGTGCCCCCTCTGTATCCCTTTGTGCCCCCCTACTAGTAAAATCCTAGCTAAGCCACTGAGTACATGTACATAGAAAGTACACATAATTAAAAATCACTGTAATTGATATAACATTGACACCTGGACGGGTATTTGGAATTGTGTGACCTCTGTTAAAAAAAGTCTTCTTTTTCTGTGAATGTTTTTCCACTTGGCTTTAAAATGTACAGGCAGAGCATTGTACAAATGTTTGTCAGTGGGTTGCTCATTTTGGCATCCCCTACGTTCAGTGATGTAGTCGAGTACTTTTTGAGAACCAAGCTCTCTACCAAATATTTAACGAGTTAGGAGGGAACAAAGCTGAAGTACATCGGCATTTGATGA